TTTTGAGAATGATGAGGGCAATGAATGTACAAATGTGCTTTACACAATCGATGTATGTATGGATTGTGATAAGAGTTGTATGAGCCCCTAATAAAACAATTTTTAAAATTAATTTGAATCAAAATTATTTCAAATGGAAGCTGTTTGCTGTTTGGAAGCACAAGTTGTGTATTAGAAAAAAATAATAAAAATAATTTTAAAATAATAATAATAACTCCCTCTACTCCACTTCCCCTAGGCTTATATGATTCCTGAAACTCTGTGGGCCAGACTCAAGTAGGCACATCTGAACCCTTGCCCCGTTTCCTTAATATCCCCTTACTTGAGAAGCTAACGAGGGAGTTTCTTTCTAAAGCCTCCGTTAAAACGCCTGTGTTGCCTGCTAAGAAACCAAACAACAGCTAGCAATCACGTTACCATGCCTAAGTTCAAGTAATCCTAAACCCTCTTGTTGATTTTCATGTTCTTCTGGATGCTATATGTTTTACTGTCATTGTGGCATCTTCTTTAATATTCCTGTACACTAACAGCCAACATGTGTTTGTCTTCATGTGGGAGTGTGGTAGTTACATAATCTAGTGTCAATTTGGGACTTCAGAAGATTAAGAGTGAAGGGGTGGAGTCTAGCCTGCCAATTGGATGATGGCCAATGAGGCCTCTATGTGGGCACGGCCTTCTCCTGAGAATTCTGGGAACTCCTGGATTTTCCTCCTTGGAGGCTGGAGACACTTCTCTGTCAATGCTGACTCCCTGGAGAGACACTCTACTGACAAGACACATAGAACTACGCTGATAGACCCCGTGCCCTGGGACCTGGAGCAGCCAAGTGGAAACCCCTGCCAGCGCTGACATGCTTACAACACCACTGGATCCAAAAGACTCCCCCCGCCCCCCAACTGTCCTGTGATTTTCCTGCACTCAGCATCATTGCATGTGTATTGTGAGTCTGAAGAGGACTTTATAGATTGGTATTGGACATATGGGCTAATATCAGACTTATGGACTTGGACTGGACTGGGTTGGGATGCTTTCTTAATGTACAATTACCCTTTATATAAAACTCTCTTATACACATATGAGTGTCTATGAATTTGTTTCTCTAGTCTACCTGGACGAACACAGGAAGAATCGACAATTAATGTGGACAGCAATACCTCAATAATTTACTGCACCTCCCAGTTATTTTCTCAAATGCTCCCTGCTAATTTTTAAGCATGAATCTGAATCACAACATTTTGATAATTCACTAATATGCTCCAAATTCCCAGCAAGCATGTACTGATGCCAGAAAAACTTTGTTAAAACATCTAGGGGCATAAAGCTTCTATGGAAAAACGACAGTTATTTCAGCCTTCCTCTACGTGGGTGGTGTCGTGATGACGCGAGGGCTGTGATCCGCGTGTGGGCAGTTGGGAACCACCAGCAGCAAGTCAGGAGAAGACTGGCCTCTCTGCTCCCGTCAACGGCTGCTGTCTCAGAATCCCACAGGGGTCGCTGTGAGTCAGCATGGACTCCCTGGGTGAGTTTGGTTTGTGGTTTAAATATATAGGCCACATAATTTCGCAGAAGCTATTTCTATTGTTCCCAAATGAAAGGAGACCATTTCTGTTTTTGTTTTTGAATCTTTGAGACTAAGAAATAATTATGTAAGTTTCTAGTACTTTGTGGCTGCTGTAGAGCTTAAATTTAATTTCTCCTTGTTAGTACAATTCCTGTATAATTATTTGAAAGCCTCCAAAATCAGATTTTTCTTTCAAATTACGTTAGAAGATCAGAAGGCCACAAACTCAAAGAAACCCTAACAAACACACCTGCATCTGGTGTTCCTAACTACCATCTAGATTCTACCTTGCTTATACATGAAGTTTCAGGAAATGCTTTAGGCGTTCTGGCCCAGAAGCATGGAGGATATCAGACTTATAGGCTACTGTGGCCTTCAGCTTGATCCTGTAGTCGAAGACCACCCTCCTTGTTGCTGAACAGTAAATGTCACTGTCACATTGTTAGAAGGCACCACTGATACGGTCCTGGGACGCTTTCTGGATGTGCACCATGCTGTAACTACCACACTAAACTCTGTCCTGTCTCAGCACCTCTGCCAGTCAGCCCCTTTCTCTGACGTTCTCTCTCTGGATACACCTAATGTTAGACCAACACTCTGGGGATTTAAAAGAAATCCCTTCAGATAATCCTGATTTGATTGTGTCTGTAGCCAGCTCTTAGATGAGCTATGATCCGACTAACTCTCATGATGAGCCGAGATATATTGTGACAAACTCTCCTGAAGTTCTTGAAGGCCAGGCCTTCTCCTTTAAACAAGTTACAATAGCTGCCCTTGCCAGAGTCCATAAACTAGCTCAGGAAAGGTCCTAACTGTATGATTCGCTACCCCCTCTGAGCCTACTATTGTCAAAATCCAGGCTCGCCCACCTAAAATAATTTCGCAAACAGAAGAAATAAAATGCTCTTGCTGACTGAGCAAAACAAAAAGGTGGGCCCCTAAATTCTTGGCCCTTTAATAGAAAAGGGAGTTCTTCATTCCACCAGCCACCACCAACTATTTTTCATCTTGATTCAGATTAGACATTTTAGAGTGGCATTCAAAGGTCTGCCAAAAGGTTACTTTGTTACATTCAATACTCCTATGACTGCTCCCTCCTTTCTTGATATCTTTAGCTGGTTACCAAATAGGATCGATTCTTGGCTATGTTCTAGATTACTGTTAATCATAATTATAGCTATTATAAGAACAGTTAGCTAGGAGCACTAGTGGCAGAGTAGGTTAGCATTGAACGGTTAACTGCAAAGTTAGTGATTCAAACCCACCAGACACCCAGGAAAAAAAACGAGACCCTCTGCCCTGTAAAGAGCCAGTCTGAGAAACTCGATGGAGGGATTCTATTCGGTCCTCATGGGCTGCTACGGAATCAACTTGATGGAGTGGCTTTAGTTTTTATAGGCATAACTTAAACAACCATGAAATACTCATCTACTATATTTAACTCCATTGCAACTTTCCTCATTATGCAAAGAATTATGTAGGCTGAAAAAGCCAAAGTTTGAAGGTGACTATTTTGCACCTTTAGTCACTCCTTATAGAACACCAACTTGTTCATCTAATGTGGCCTATTTATACTAGCCCTGTTATCAGCCAGCTCACCCTGAAGATGAAGCATGACAAGGTAATGCTAAAATGTATTCATCAATCACTTAATTGATTTATAACATAAAACTCCAGAATGTCCTTAGAAAGTCCTTGTGGGAGAAAGGTTACTCCTATATTGGTGAATGTGATCTGTGCTCCCCTCAAAGTGCCTTTGTCAAAAGGGGGAATGTATAAGCAAACCCTAAAACCTGAGGCATTTGGCTTAACTAAACTAGTTGATCCAGGTCTGGATTATACTCCATTTTACCTCAGACTCCACTTTTCCCCATTGGCCCTATTTCTGCTCGTTATCTACAATAGACGTTTGTAAACTCTTACCTGTTCCCAGCAGACGAAGGCAGCGGTCAGGCATTTGGTCCGACTGTTCCAGGAAACATATGGCCCCTCCCTACCTTGTAAAACCTGTCCTTGGAAAGGATGCTCTTGCCAGACCCTACAGAATTTTATAAACATGCTATCTTCCATCCTGGCACAGTGAATAAACTAGTTATTTTGAAATTTTTAAAATAGTCTTTCAACTAAATCTTCCGGAGTCTCAAGACAACCATGTGACTGATAACATAAAGCTCGGTAAATATCAGCCAGTCAGAACACTGCCTGATACAAACCAGCCTCTGAGGTCCCGCTCATCATACGTAGCATATGATAATTTTCCATGTAATTTTTCAACTGTTCAACGCCTTTAAAAATCTCCTTGTCCTATTCTAAGAGAACTCAGAGGATCATTTTATTTATGACACAATTAACAGAGGAGATAAACTAATAGAAGCTTCTATGGCAGTGGTTCTCAACCTTCCTAATGCCACGACTCTTTCATACAGTTCCTCATGTGGTGGTGACCCCAGCCATAAAGTTATTTTTGTTGCTACTTCTTAACTGTCATTTTGCTACTGTTATGAATTGGACGACCCCTGTGAAAGGGTGGTTCGACCCCCAAAGGGGTCGCGACCCACAGGTTGAGAACTGCTGTTCTATGGGGTTAGTGTTAATGAAGAAGAAACAAAAAACAAGGTGATGGCAAGTAGGGTTGAAGGGGGGGCTTCCAGAAAAAGTGACGTTCACATAGAGATCTGAATCCTCTGGAAGGCTTTGTTTTGGGGGGCCATCCTTCCCTTAAGCAGACTCTGGTGGCCTTTCCACAGGAAGCATGGCTAAAGAGGCTGTGGTGGGACTGCAAGGGCCCCTCCCTCTCAACTCGGACCAAGTGGCAAACACTGCTGAACCAACCAGTCAACCTATGCTGATAAAGATGCTTCTGGCCACTGGAACCCCAGGCAGAAGTGAACTGAGCACAACCATACCGCAACCGGTCTGCTTCCCAGGAAGTTCAGGTCGCTGTTCTCTCCAAACAGGTAACCTTCAGGGTGACTGGAGTCAAACTTCTCTCCTCCCATAAGGAAGTGGCTGGCAAAATAGCTCCCTGATGAGGGACAAACAGAAGAAACTAGTAAGACAAAACTAAGTGGGGGAGGGGAGCGGGGAGGCGGTCTAACTCTTCAAACAAATTGAGTCAAGAGTTAGAAATTCTTTTCTTTAATTTGGACAATGGCACAACATGAGCAGAATCATAGCTAGGAGAATCAAGATGCCAAACATAAAACAGATCAGTGTTTCCTTTTTAACACACTTTCATCAAATCTTAATCACCACTGACCTATAAAAAGGGCCCACAACCCACATTAATGGACATATCCAAGTGTTGATTTTAAAAATGGTTTTATTCACATATCCTTCATATGGCACACAATTTAATGGCTCACTCATGTTAAGATTTGTGCAATCATCTCCACAATCAATTTCCGGACACTTTCTTCTAGTAGTCATTGTTAGCTCTCTGTATAGGGATTTGGTTACTGATTTTTTTTCCTTACACTTGAAACAGTTATTCCAGGAATCTTAATGACAAGTATTAGCATGTATATACATGTATATATTTCTTTACCTAGATTTTCTTTATTTATTAAAAAAACTTTTACCTAGATTTTCATGAACAAGTCATACTCATATACAGAAATCTCAGTACCCACTGACCACGACATTTCCATCTCTATGTGCCTCTAAAAGAAAGCTTCTTTACACTTTAATTTGCTTCAATGATATAAATGTTTGTTTCATAGGCAAATACAAATTTTAATAATACAGCTGTCCCTGGCTTTACCTATCAAATACCACACACTTCCTGCCATCCAGTTGACTTTGACTCACAGCAACCTTAGGATCGAGCAAAAATGCCCCTGTAGGTTTCTGATACTGTACATCTTTATGAGAACAGAAAGCCTCATCTTTCTCCCACGTTACAACGGTTCTCAACCCGTGGGTTGTGACCCCTTTCACAGGGGTTGCCCGACTCATAACAGTAGCAAAATGACAGTCATGAAGTAGCAATGAAAACAATTTTATGGTTGGGGGGGTCACCACCACATGAGGAACTATTAAAAGGTCGCAGCATTAGGAAGGTTGAGAACCACTGTCCCACAATTAACTACACAGCATGCCAAGAACTCACCACCAGTGTTGATGGCCAGAATTGCAGGACTTTTGCCCCACTTTAACTGGACACCCCAACCTTAACAGAAGGCAGGGATTTAGTCAACACTGCCCTTACCACATGAAATCTGGTCAGAATTCCCACCAACCTCTCAGCCAGACAGACCAAGGAACTGAGCCAGGATATGATGGCAGTGAGAAGTCACAACGGGAGGTTTAGGTAACAACAAATTCACTATGGAAATCTTTTCACTTTTGATGATTAAATGAATGCCTCTTATCCCACACCCTGGATAGACCAGGCTGGAGAAGGACATCTTGCTGGGAAAGGGGAGGGGCAGAGAAGAGGAGGAAAGCCCCTGAGATGGAATGCTAGCCCAGTGGCTACAACACTGGGCTCAAACACAAGAACAGGCCGGGGAGGTGTTCCGTCTTGTTGTACTAAGGTCAGTGCTAGGAGTTGGAACCGACGCAACGGCACCTAAGAACGGCAACCGCAATCCTCCCATCAAGGCAAGCACACGCCATCACATGCCATGCCAATGTCCTCACCCACTCCAAATGCTCAAGCTAATACAAAAATGGTTGTCTCTTATACTACTAGGATATGTATGAACTCCCTTACGTCAATAGCAATTTTTGTTGAAGATTTACAGCAAATTCTAAAAACTGAGTGTCTGCAAGTAGAGAAGGAAGACAGAGCAGAAGAGCTAAACCAGTGGTGGGATTCAGCCAGTTTGCACCGGATCAGCAGAACTAATACCTAATTTTTTGAGTTCAATGAACCAGTAGTTAAAATAACACTTGTAATCAGGGTACTCTCTAAAGTGGGTGGCTGGGCAGCTGCCCAATGTGGAAATCACACATTTGCATCCCTTACTCTTTTTTAATGTTCATCTGTGTGACAGCATATTCTAAGCACCCATAGCACTGTTCATTCCATTCAAAGGTGTAAAAAATTAGATGGAACTGTGCTTGTAGTATTTGTTTATTATTAAAAGAAATTGAACGTTATAAAAATTTATTCTTATTGTTCTAAGAATGTATCATTTGTTCATGAATAAATATTAACAGCATAATGCCACACTGTCATTTGTTTCAGCTTTGGGTTATGCCTCCAATTCCCATGAGATATGATGAGTGAAATATGCAATTCCTAAAAGTGTCTAAGAGCTAAAAGTATGATCAGAACAACTGCTGTAAATTCAGGAGAATCTGCAAGGGGTTTTTCAAAGATGAATATAATAGATTCAGAGAAAGAAGTTGTCTAACTTTTTTCTAATCTATTGGCCTACCTCTAAAGGAATGGTATCCTACTTCTACAGTGAAGAGATGATTAAAGATAAATCACACAGCCAATGATGCTCAGATAAAAGGGAAGAATATTGCAAATATGGAAATAACAGTTTTATTGTTTTTTGTCAAATACTTTTTGTTAATATTTTAAAACTCCTTCTTTGTGTCCTTCCTTTATTTTTCCTATTTAAGTATTAACTGTATGAAATAATAAACTATTGGGGGAGGGGGGCACAGGGAGGGAGGGGAAAAATGAGGAGCTGATACTAAGGGCTCAAGTAGAAAGCAAACGTTTTGAGAATGATGATGGCAACAAATGTGCAAATGTGCTTGACACATTTGATGTATGTATGGATTGTGATAAGAGTTGTATGAGGCCCTAATAAAATGTTTTAAAAAAGAAATAATAAACTACCTTTCAGCATATCCTTTTTTTCTACTTACTGGCAGTTAATTTCTACTTGATTTTTTATACTTAAATACTTAAAATGGCCATCAGGGCAGTGAACTGGTTGTTAAATTATTTGAATCCCACCACTGCATGCATTCATTTTTGGATTTGCTATACCTAGGAGAAGGACATCACATTTGATAAACTAACAGGGCAGCAACATGGATTGGCACAGAGGCTGTAGCAACGGGCTCAAACATAAGAACCACTGTGAGGATGGCACTGGACCAGGCAGTGTTTCCTTCTGCTGGACACAGATCGTTATGAACCGGAGCAGACTCGACAGCGCCTGACAACAACAACAACAACAACAACAAATCTAGTCAGCAAATCAATGTGGATCATATCTCATACTACAGAGTGAAGCAATTCTTGAGCTATAGACAGGAGGAAAACATCGTTTTCGAATCCTCAAGAGCCCACATGAGGGCAACCACAGAGGACCTTGGAAAAGTTACCCACCAAATTGAACACACAAAGACCAGCCACCTGCAGTGATACGACAGTGCAATTGCTTATTTGGGAAAGCTTGATTATCAATTATTCATGACAGCACTTGCTAGTCCTATTTTCCGAGTGCATAATTTATAGAGAAGATAGGTGCCTAGTGGCCTTAAGCGCAAGCAGCCATTGCAAATAATTTAAGAGTCATTCATCTTTGAGCCCCCCAAACACACTGCTATGAGTCAATTTTGGCTCACAGTGATCCTACCTAGGGTTTCTAAGGTGTAAGTCTTCATAGGACCAGACTGCCTCACATTCCTCCGGATAAGCGGCTAGTGGGCTTGAGCCACTGACATTGTGGTTACCAGTCTACTGCCTAATCTACAGCATCACCAGGGCCCTACATCTATATATATTAAGGTCTATGTCTTTAGTGGACAGACGGTGAAATTAGACACGTTAAAGATTCTACACTGAAGGATGGCCTGCCCAAGTCAACCGTGAAGAAAGGAGAGAAGCGAGTCTGGGGTCTGACATTGTACAAATTGAGTTTAGTGTAAGGCCCAGGGTGTTACCAAAGTCCGTGGCAGTCAGGTAAGGGATCTGGGGCAATGACATCCACAGGTTACGGTGGACCACGTGGGGCTGGATGAGGCTGGCAAGAGAGAGGCACGAATGACCTGGCGCAAGAGGTTAAAGGAGCCGACTAGGTTTAACAGAAAAATGCCTTTGGGGGCATGATGCAAAAAGAACTTATCAAGAGGGGTAATGCTAGGTAATGGCAATTTTACCTTGCATGAAAAAACAAAGAGTACATAAAATTCAGCTCAAGAGATCATAGGAAAACAGGATTCTTGTCAAACCAGGTATGCAAACTTCCTTTAAAGAGCTCACTTCCCCAGTGCACTTAACATACAAATACGTCATTTTTAAGGTTTGATATGGTGTTATTTATAATATTGAAATGGTCATATTTATAAGGTTTGAAATGATATTTCAACGTAGGCAACTTTTCAGGGAAAAACGATATCGATTAAAGTGCCAGGTTGCTTTATACTTGCACCTGGGGATGCTTTTCTCCAAATTACACAGGTCACTTCCAGTTTAAATGAACTTAAAGGCACTGTGTAACCACTTACTTCACAGTTCTTTGACACTGTTCACTTCTAGAGTTTGGGCTGTAGGTGGGAGCAACTTGAAATGTGTACCCTTGGCACATGGTGCAGTGGTCCAAGGCACCGGATCACATGTGTACACCTGTTTGAATTAGAGTAAGCTTCCAACATACTCACAGGTTAAAAGAAAAAAATCCATTTAAGACTACCAAATTTTCACTTTTTCCTGTCTTTGAAACAGACTCCTGTAACCACTGGCTCTCCGTTACACTGGGTCAATAACAGATCGTGCCTGACAGACGGGGTAAAGCTCCCGCCGCTTGTTCGGGCTCTCAAGTCAGCACACGGCTCTGCCGGCAACCGCAGCAACAGACACTGACAGCAAACACATGCATGCACAATCCTGATGACAGTTGCCTTTTGGTCAACTTGTAAGTATATATCCATTCTTCTTAGCAGTATAAATACAGAGAGTATCCATTAAGATCTTTAAAACACATGCATTTAATTTAGGCTCCTTTGTTTTATTTACTTTCCATTTTCAGGGGCTGCTTTCAATTTAAAAAATTAATAATTATGTAAACTGTGTATAGGGTTCCGCTGTTGAACTATACAAAATAATACA